AGCAATAAATGTTTAGGAAAAGATGCTTTTAAAACCCAAAATCTCAATACAGTAGTAGATGTCAGGAAAAAGAAGATAATTGATGTGAACAAAGGCTGATATGTAAGAATATTAATTTCAGGGTCCTTTCTGGTAGAGTAAGTAGTTAAGCTGCAGCACTATGAAGCTACCTGTAGCCACTGCAGCATTAGTTTGATCCCAGCCAGAGAGCAAACCCATATGGCACAGCAGACCTCTCCTGTCTTACTGGGTGCTTCCCTTAGCTATGTATTTTGGTCAGTCTGCCTGTTCTGTTCTTCAACTCTATCTCTGGTGAATCCTCACACATGCGCATCCCCAACCCCCACCCGTACCTCAGTTCTTGTATGCATAAATAAAATCTTAAAAAAAAAAAAAGAGTATTAATTTCAGGCTGAATAGAAAGGAAAAATGGAAAGAGCCTGTAAAACAATAGGGAACCAGGCAAATAAAACACAGTTGGTTACATGTTAGCGTATTATGTCTTTATGGTATTTTGAGTCACGTAGGAAAATTGTTGCATACAATGGTAAAAAAAAAGAAAAATAACAGAATATTGTATATAAAGCTTTTGGCTCCATTTAATAATACACAAGGAGATTCACAGTGAATGCCTGGCTTTTATAAAATTATGGGTAACATTTTTTTCTATAAACATTTACACATTTCCCCCAGTTCTACAGTGGGTTTAAACTTGCAGTTACATTGAGAGGAAAGCTTAGGGAAACTTTTACAATTAATTCTGCCAAATTTACCCTAGCCAAAATCCCCAAAGCAAAACTGTATAGTAATAACTAATATAAATCTGAAGATATAATTATCTCAAATCCCTTTCTTCCCAGTTAAGGTTTAAGATCATTTTGAATGCTCAGTTCACAAGGTTCTCATACAACAATCACTTTCTAAGCCAAATCAATTCTGGCTGTTGTGACATACCAACTTGTAAGGTTAAAAATAAAATAAAATTTCTATTTAATTTCTCTAAAATAGGGTTCCTGTTAATTAGCATATAATTTGTTTAAAATGAAATGGAAGTATATGTAACATATGCTATGACTCACTCTTCTATGCAATGTTAAAGTATCACTCTTTCATGCAATGTGAGAGTATCCTTTTAATCTAGTTTGTCTTAAAAAGCTTCAAATGGCCTCATTTAATGCATTATGGCTGACTGTTGACAACACGCATATATATCTCCTGCAATATGAATATGTATGACACTCAGAATCACTTTTTTCTAAGCATTTAGGGGTATGGCCTGTTCATGTCTATACCCTCATAGCTGTCATGGCATTTAAATAAAAATAAAGATTCAAAACTATTGGAAAAAATGAAGGTACTAAAATGTTCAATGTCATCCAAATCATCCAAGCACATTATGTCTGTCTTGTTCCTTTCTTTATTCTATTGGTGCTTCCCATGAAGTTACAACCCTTAAGTTTAATTATTCTGTATCCCTATAAGTCATGCAGCTCACTTTTTTGCATAGTAACATGTTTATTTTACCTGATAGTCTGTTCCAAATCTTTTATTTTCATTATATCTTCTCAAGGTACAATAATAAAAAAAATATACAGTCTTAAACTGACTTACAATACTATATTCTTATTATTTCTTATTTAAAAAAATCTAATTTAAACTACTATTCTACAATGCCATAGTCTTAATTTCACTTTTGTTTCTAACTTGTTTTTGTGTAGAACTGTGTAGTGCAGGCTAGAAGTGGGTGAGAGGATTCACCACAGACAGAGTGGAACAGGAGGATCTACTGAAATACACAGATGAGGGGAGCAACAAGCAAGATAGGAGAAGTCTGCTGTGCCATATGTGGGTTAGCTCCGTGGCTGAGGATTGAACTCAGGCCATAGCAATAGCGGTGATAGCACTGAGACTTAATCCGTAGACTAGTAGTAAGGCCTTTTTTTTTTTTT